CAGAAAACGTGTTTCCACTGCTCCAGAGTTCAATGGTGGCCAGCTTTACACCCCTCCAGCCGACGCTTGGCATTACACATGGTGATTTTAGGCTTGTGTGCGGCTGCTCGGCCATGAAACCCATTTCATGAAGCTCCCGACGAACAGTTGTTGTGCTGACGTTGCTTCCAGAAGCAGTAGTGAGTGTTGCAAACAAGGACAGGCGATTTTTACGCGCTACGCGCTTCAGCACTCGGCAGTCCCGTTCTGTGAGCTGGTGTGGCCTACCACTTCACGGCTGAGCCGTTGTTGCTCCTAGACGTTTTCACTTCACAATAACAGCACTTACAGTTGACCGGGGCAGCTCTAGCAGACCAGAAATTTGACGAACTGACTTGTTGGAAAGGTGGCATCCTATGACGGTGCCACATTGAAAGTCACTGAGCTCTTCAGTAAGGCCATTTTACGGCCAATGTTTGTCTATGGAGATTGCATGGCCGTGTGCTCGATTTTATACACCTGTCAGCACTAATTTGAAGGGGTGTCCACATACTTTTGTATTATATAGTGTATTTGTGGCAATCGTTAGTGGTAGTGTGTGCCAGTTTAAGTGGTTTTATCATTAAGTTGATGAAGGTTGAGCACCTCATTTGTCCACTCCCAGTTCTACAATCTTTGTAAGAGCCTGTGACAATCAAGAGCTGCACGGTTAATAAGAGGTTACTGTGCATTTTCCAGTAACTTAATGACAGTTGGTCAACAGGAAGTTCATGTTTATTTTTCGATAAATTACTGTTGGCTTACTGCAAGTAGTTATTGTAAAATTCACAGTAAGTTACTGTGGCTGATCTCTGTCATGCTCACTAACCTGTTGATGTGGCAGGAAGGTCAGTTGGCTGTCAACCAAAAGGTTGAGGCCTGGTGAGGGAGGCTGAGTCTCAAGTGTACTAACCACAAAGAATGCTTAGTAGTTGTCAACTAATGTTGAGCTATCTTGTAATCAGTAAAGTTCAGTGAAAGTACAGTAAGTTAATGGCAGTTACTGGCTATTAAGTTACTGTGAATGTTGATAGCTTTTTGATACTGATAGCTAGTTGCCAGTTAGATAAAGCAGAATTCACAGCAACTACCAGGCTACTAACTTCCATTAAGTTACTGTAAAATGCACAGTAACCTCTTAACAGTGCAGCTCTTTGTCACATGCTCTTACAAAGATTGCAGAACTGACATTGCTAAAAGAGGTGGTCAACCTTTGACAACATAACCATCAACCACTTAAACTGGTACAACACTTCCACTGACGGTTGGCACAAATACACAAAATTCTGTAACTTCTTGTTGTTTACCATACTTTCACTGCAACCAGTAGCCTGTAGTGTACCGTAAAATTACAGGAACTTTTTAGTGTAGAATTTCATGGCATAAAGGAAAACATGGTGGAGAAGTGAAGAGCAAGATGGTTCTTCACAACCATCACAGCAGTAAAGAACCCTACCTGAGCAGTAAAGCACCCTAACTGAAAAATGGTTACACGTCACTCTCACCCCTGACAAAGAACCCCTCAAGAACCTTATTTTGTGTGTAGTAACAACATTGCATCAACATGTTTCTTTACTACTTTAGCCATGTTTTGCATTGTGTTGAAAGATTTGTTACACAATAGAGCCCCACAGTGGTATCATAATACCCATAAAACCTAGCGGTCAAACAGGGAAATGTTTCCAATCGTTTTTTTTTTTTTCCACCATTCATTTTTCCCATAGGGAATTTTAGAAACACTTCAAATAAGAGCTGTGTTTTGTGTAGGCTTACCCTGGCATGACATTTTGATAACCATGTAAATTTCCCTTAGCGTCAAAGTAGACATCATGCAAGACTACAAATCCCTGCAAGCTCCTGCACGTCATCTCTAGCTGACACCTTCGCTAACAGGTATTGTGTCAATTTAAAACTTACACAAGACACTAAACTGAATTGTCAATTTAAATAAATGTTGCCAATTAATGAATTACTCAATTTAGCCAATATTAGATTGTTAATCCAGAGATTATTACCTTTGCCTCGATTAGGCAGCCTCTTCTAGATCATCATGGCATTTGTAGTTCTTTATGATAGCCACATTAACAGCTAATTAGCATTTCATTTTGGGGGGGTAAATACAGGCGACTATATTGATAAATCACCTTGTTCTAGAGAGATTTACACGGTTATCAAAACGTCACACCAGGGTAAGCCTACATGAAATACAGCCCTTAATTTAAGTGTTTCTAAAATCCCCTATGGGAAAAATGAATGGTGGAAAAACGATTGGAACCATTTCCTTGTTTGACCGCTAGGTTTTATGGGTATTATGACTTGTACTGTGGTACTCTATAAGGACAATCCCTATTCCACTTGTGGCTGTGGAATAACGAAAAACTATGCAATTACAACAGTACTACAATAGAGTATTACAGTGTAGGAACAACTGAACTTACCCATTTGTCTACCATTTGTGTTTGATATTGAAGATTTTACTTTGTCAAAACCCAACATCATCATCAACACCAGATAAGTCCAGCATCCATTCAGGCCAGGCTTTTAGGTTTGAATGGGATAATGTACATTTTCTTCAGGGTCAACATAAATCCTCAATTACACAACAAAGTATAGCATCAAAACAAGACTGAGTTACAGGGAGGAAGATTTCTTTCTCAAAAAGAGATAATACAACCCAGTAAGTAAATTGAATCACAGTCATAATCCATGAGTAGGAATTTGGCCACTAGCATACACTTTATAGACTGGTTATTGACATGATGTGCCCAGACAGTATATCACAGGTGTGTCAGGAAAGCTTGACTCAGCTACAATCCTTGTAAATTATGAACACCTCCACATAAACATTTTGGTTACGATAAGACAAGACATGCTTATTTCTGTTTAATGAAAGGTGTGATTCAATTCTGGTTCCATGAACATTTTCTCATGTGAAATTGTAAGATGTCTGTCTCATGTATTTGGCAATTACTCTGCTGCTCTGCTGAAGTGAAATATACAGTACCAGTCATGTTTGGACACACCTACTCATTCAAGGGTTTTTCTTTATTTTTACTATTTCCTACATTGTAGAATAATAGTGAAGACATCAAAACTATGAAATAACACATATGGAATCATGTAGTAACCAAAAAAGTGTTAAACAAATCAAAATATATTTGAGATTTGAGATTCTTCAAATAGCCACCCTTTGCCTTGATGACAGCTTTGCACACTCTTGGCATTCTCTCAACCAGCTTCATGAGGTAGTCACCTGGAATTCATTTCAATTAACAGGTGTGCCTTGTTAAAAGTTAATTTGTGGAATTTCTTTCCTTCTTAATATGTTTGAGCCATTCAGTTGTGTTGTGACAAGGTAGGGGTGGTATACAGAAGATAGCCCTATTTGGTAAAAGACCAAGTCCATATTATGGCAAGAACAGCTAAAATAAGCAAAAAGAAACGACAGTCCATCATTACTTTAAGACACGAAGGTCAGTCAATACAGAACATTTCAAGAACTTTGAACGTTTCTTCAAGTGCAGTTGCAAAAACCATCAAGCGCTATGATGAACCTGGCTCTCATGAGGACCGCCACAGGAAAGGAAGACCCAAAGTTACCTCTGCTGCAGAAGATAAGTTCATTAGAGTTAACTGCACCTCAGATTGCAGCCCAAATAAATGCTTCATAGAGTTCAAGTAACAGACACATCTCAACATCAACTGTTCAGAGGGGACTGTGTGAATCAGGCCTTCATGGTCGAATCGCTGCAAAGAAACCACTACTAAAGGACACCAATAAGAAGAAGAGACTTGCTTGGGCCAAGAAACATGAGCAATGGACATTAGACCGGTGGAAATTTGTCCTTTGGTCTGGAGTCCAAATTTGAGATGTTTAGTTCCAACCGCCGTGTCTTTGTGAGACGCAGATTAGGTGAATGGATGATCTCTGCATGTGTGGTTCCCACCGTGAAGCATGGAGGAGGAGGTGTGATGGTGTGGGGGTGCTTTGCTGGTGACACTGTCTGTGATTTAACCAGCATGCCTACCACAGCATTCTTCAGCGATACACCATCCCATCTGGTTTGCGCTTAGTGGGACTATCATTTGTTTTTCAACAGGACAAGGACCCAAAAGACACCTCCAGGCTGTGTAAGGGCTATTTGACCAAGAAGAAGAGAGATGGAGTGCTGCATCAGATGACCTGGCCTCAACCCAATTGAGATGGTTTGGGATGAGTTGGACCGCAGTGAAGGAAAAGCAGCCAACAAGTGCTCAGCATATGTGGGAACTCCTTCAAGAATGTTGGAAAAGCATTCCTCATTAAGCTGGTTGAGAGAATGCCAAGAGTGTGCAAAGCTGTCATCAAGGCAAAGTCTGGCTACTTTGAAGAATCTAAAATCTAAAATATATTTTGATTTGTTTAACACTTTTTTGGTTACTACATGATTCCATATGTGTTATTTCATAGTTTTGATGTCTTCACTATTATTCTAGAAATGTAGAAAATAGTAAAAATAAAGAAAAACCCTTGAATGAGTAGGTGTGTCCAAACTTTTGACTGGTACTGTATGGTTCAGGATTAAGATGAATCATCAGTCACAAGGAGGAAACTGGGGCTACCTTCACCTGATGTTGAGCAACTGAAACAGTCTGTGTGCAAAAAGGCCTTGAGAGACCTGCTGGAACTGCTGGCAAGGTGGCCGTGAACCCAGGAGATGGAAATTAGGGTCGTGTTCATTAGGGGACACTGTAAAAAAAAAAAGCGTAACATTTCAGTTCATCCCCGTTTATCGGTTTTCTTCAAAGCTTTCCGCTGTTGAATTAACTAAACAGAAAACTGAAGCAAACGGGGAGGTACTATCCAAATTTCTCCAAAAATAAACACTTGTTTTAGTTTCCCGTTGCAATACGGTGTGCCCTAATGAACAATGTACAATCAATAAGTTCTGCGATCACACAAAACAACTGCCAATGTCAGTTTTACAACTGATTTAATATCTCTGTATTAACAAACTTGAAAATTCCAGAGCACAATTACACTTCCACATGTACAAGTGAGAGATACGACAAAGTCCCATTCTTTAAAAATATAAAAATAAGACACTGGACACATGCTGTATGAAATGCAATAAATAGTTAAAAAAATAAGAAAGAAATGGCCTGTGTTTTAAAGAGGATTTGAAAATGGGAGTCCAGTCAAGATGGGCCATTTCCCCTCAATCTTCCTTCTAGTGTAACGCATGCATTATGATGCCTCAGAAACGGTATGACCCAATGACTCTTCTTGTGGGACCTTCTTCAAAAGGTTTCTGCTCCCAACTGAGGTTGAGGTACATTGCTACTGTTACAGCTAATGTCCGGTATCTGGTCCGCAAACGACTGTGTCATCCACTGGTCGTATGGCATGTGGCTCATTGCTGTAGCTTGGTCCTTACTGGGCATTTCTGAAAGAAGCAAAAAAAATAAACATAATATATTTATTACATATGTCCTTTTAGATTAACAAACCTAAAACCTGTATGAATAGTGATACTAACTCGTCTCATCTTTAGGGTCTACTTTTCTATCAGCCTCATCAGATGGCCCAGGTTAACTAACGAAAGTAAAAAATACAAGCACTCTTGTCTTCAGAAACCTACTCTCACCTGTCTCTTTGGTGGAGGAAATGTTGCAGTAGCTGGTGCTTTGACTTGCATCCTGGCGTGCCCCTCCGCAGTTCTCATACTCAGGATCCACCTGCTCTTCCTTGATGGCCATCCTCTTAGCATCCTCTGTAGCACAGTGATACAGGAAATACAAGGTTACTCATCTTCAACACTCTGAACTGCCTTGACAAACACATGACAATCTAGAGATCATACAGTGAGGGAAAAAAGTATTTGATCCCCTGCTGATATTGTACGTTTGCCCACTGACAAAGAAATGATCAGTCTATAATTTTAATGGTAGGTTTATTTGAACAGTGAGAGACAGAATAACAACAAAAAAATCCAGAAAAACGCATGTCAAAAATGTTATAAATTGATTTGCATTTTAATGAGGGAAATAAGTATTTGACCCCCTCTCAATCAGAAAGATTTCTGGCTCCCAGGTGTCTTTTATACAGGTAACGAGCTGAGATTAGGAGCACACTCTTAAAGGGAGTGCTCCTAATCTCAGTTTGTTACCTGTATAAAAGACACCTGTCCACAGAAGCAATCAATCAATCAGATTCCAAACTCTCCACCATGGCCAAGACCAAAGAGCTCTCCAAGGATGTCAGGGACAAGATTGTAGACCTACACAAGGCCGGAATGGGCTACAAGACCATTGCCAAGCAGCTTAGTGAGAAGGTGACAACAGTTGGTGCGATTATTCGCAAATGGAAGAAACACAAAATAACTGTCAATCTCCCTCGGCCTGGGGCTCTATGCAAGATCTCACCTCGTGGAGTTGCAATGATCATGAGAACGGTGAGGAATCAGCCCAGAACTACACGGGAGGATCTTGTCAATGATCTCAAGGCAGCTGGGACCATAGTCACCAATAAAACAATTGGTAACACACTACGCCTTGAAGGACGGAAATCCTGCAGCGCCCGCAAGGTCCCCCTGCTCAAGAAAGCACATATACAGGCCTGTCTGAAGCTTGCCAATGAACATCTGAATGATTCAGAGGAGAACTGGGTGAAAGTGTTGTGGTCAGATGAGACCAAAATCGAGCTCTTTGGCATCAACTCAACTCGCCGTGTTTGGAGGAGGAGGAATGCTGCCTATGACCCCAAGAACACCATCCCCACTGTCAAACATGGAGGTGGAAACATTATGCTTTGGGGGTGTTTTTCTGCTAAGGGGACAGGACAACTTCACCGCATCAAAGGGACGATGGACGGGGCCATGTACCGTCAAATCTTGGGTGAGAACCTCCTTCCCTCAGCCAGGGCATTGAAAATGGATCGTGGTTGGGTATTCCAGCATGACAATGACCAAAGACACACAGCCAAGGCAACAAAGGAGTGGCTCAAGAAGAAGCACATTAAGGTCCTGGAGTGGCCTAGCCAGTCTCCAGACCTTAATCCCATAGAAAATCTGTGGAGGGAGCTGAAGGTTCGAGTTGCCAAACATCAGCCTCGAAACCTTAATGACTTGGAGAAGATCTGCAAAGAGGAGTGGGACAAAATCCCTCCTGAGATGTGTGCAAACCTGGTGGCCTACTACAAGAAACGTCTGACCTCTGTGATTGCCAACAAGGGTTTTGCCACCATGTACTAAGTCATGTTTTGCAGAGGGGTCAAATACTTATTTCCCTCATTAAAATGCAAATCAATTTATAACATTTTTGACAGGCGTTTTTCTGGATTTTGTTGTTGTTATTCTGTCTCTCACTGTTCAAATAAACCTACCATTAAAATTATAGACTGATCATGTCTTTGTCAGTGGGCAAACGTACAAAATCAGCAGGGGATCAAATTCTTTTTTCCCTCACTGTATCTTCATTTAACATTTTTGTACAGCAAATGACCGAATATAATTTGCGTAACATGATGGCATCCTTATTATCATATCAGTCTTATTCCTTATGTCCACCCACTGTGCCCAGAGTGGGTGAAAACGCACTTTGGTGAGAATTTCACTTACTTATGTTATAAAATACATTTTAGAAGACAAATTATTATTCATGTTCTGAATCGTTCAGTGAGGTCTTTCTCTAACATATAATTAACATTATATCCAAAAAGTCTGATTTCGTAAGATAATAGATCCGATAATAAGCTCTGACATAGCCATGCAGGTTTCTCATAACTTTTGATGATTTTTCAATTTGTGGTCGGTCTTCAAAGTTGTTTCCGCGGGTCGCAAAAAGTAAAATTAGCATGACATGAGCTGAATTAATGTAAAAGGCTTTGAAGAAAAGCTTGGTATACGCTCAGTGCTCCGCTGACATTTCACAGAGATACGCTTGTTTTTGTGAGAAATCTTTGAAAAATAACAGGAATTTCTCATTAATATTAATAACGTATGCTAAAATATGAAAATACTACATGTCATGTCTCAAAATCGATATCCATCTTACCTCTATATTGTTTTATGTCTTGCGGATTTGAGAAGAAACAGGAGTTCAACGAGAAAGTGAGCCTGTCGCCTTAATTCTTGCACAGAATCCAGCGTAGTTGACGCGATTAAACTTTCCAGATTATTTTTTTTACCACTTTTTTTCCTCTGGCTTCCATTGATTTAGTCACCTTAATTCTGGCCATACTACAAGGGTAAACACTCCAATAACGTTTGAATGGATTGTGATAGAGACATGAGATTTGGACCATTTGTTTTCTTAGAGGATTATCTACACAATTAACATATTATTTTACCCATTGTTCAAAATATGTGTTTTTGATTGGACACCCTACTTATCAATAACATTATATTCAGTGTATACAGTGCCTTCAGAAAGTATCCCCTTGACTCTTTCCACATTTTGTTGTGTTACAGCCTGAATTTAACATGGATTGAATTGATATGTGTCACTGGCTTACATACAATACCCCATAATGTCAAAGTGGAATTATGTTTTTAGAATTTTGTATAAATTAATTAAAAATGAATAGCTTAAAATGTCCTGAGTCCAAGTATTCAACCCCTTTGTTGTGGCAAGCCTAAATAGGTTCAGGAATAAAAATCTGCTTACAAGTCACATAATAAGTTGCATAGACTCACTCTGTGTGCAATAATAGTGTTTAACATGAGTTTTGAATGACTACCTCATCTCTGTACCCCTCACATACAATTATCTGTAAGGTCTCTCAGTCGAGCAGTGAATTTCAAACACAGATTCAACCACAAAGACCAGGGAGGTTTTCCAATACCTCACAAAGAAAGGCACCTATTGGTAGATGGGAAGAAAAAAAAGAAAAGCAGACATTGAATATCCCTTTGAGCATGGTGAAGTTATGAATTACACTTTGGATGGTGTATCAATACACCCAGTCACTACAAAGATACAGGCGTCCTTCCTAACTCAGTTGCTGGAGAGGAAGGAAACTGCTCAGGGATTTTACCATGAGGCCACTGGTGACTTTAAAACAGTTAGAGAGTTTAATGGCTGTGATAGGAGAAAACTAAGGATGGATCAACAACATTATAGTTACTCCACAATACTAACCTAATATGACAGAGTGAAAAGAAGGAAGCCTGTGCAGAATATTCCAAAACATGCATCCGTTTACAATAAGACACTAAAGTAAAATTGCAAAGAATGTGGCAAAGAAATGAACATTATATGTCCTGAATACAAAGCGTTATGTTTGGGGCAAATCCAACACAACACATCACTGAGTACCACTCTTCATATTTTCAAAAATAGTGTTGGATGCATCATGTTATGTGTATTCTTGTAATCGTTAAGGACTGGGGAGTTTTTCAGGATAAAAAAAAAAAAGAGAGAGAGACTGAATGGAGCTAAACACAGGCAAAATCCTAGAGGAAAACCTGGTTCAGTCTGCTTTCCAACAGACACTGGGAAACAAATTCACATTTCAGCAGGACAATAACCTAAAACACAAGGCCAAATATACACTGGAGTTGCTTACCAAGACAACATTGAATGTTCCTGAGTGGCCTATTTGCAGTTTGGCTTAAATCTTCTTGAAAATCTATGGTAAGACTTGAAAATGGCTGCCTAGCAATGATCAACAACCAACTTGACAGAGCTTGAATAATTTTTTTAAGAATAATGTGCAAATATTGTACTATCCAGGTGTGCAAAGCTCTTAGAGACTTACAACTGTAATCGCTGCCAAAGGTGATTCTAACATGTATTGACTCAGGGGTGTGAATACTTACGTAAATGAGATATTTCTGCATTTCATTTTCAATAAAATTTGCTAAAAGGTCTAAACATGTTTTCACTTTGTCATTATGGGGTATTGTGTGTAGATTAAAAAAAATCCATTTTGAATTCAGGCTGTAACAACAAAAATGTTGAATAAGTCAAGGGGTATGAATACTTTCTGAAGGCACTGTATAAGAGATTCAGTTTCCAGCTTTCTCATGTTCGTTCTGAAATAGCCAAGTGAACGAGACTTTGAAGTGTAGCAACGGGAGACTAATTCAGTTACCTTTGGCAAGTCCCAAGTCGAAGTGGTACTCCGTCTCTTGCACCTCACGGGCGATTGGAGCCACACCCTTGATCTTGTCCCGTAGCTCCTTCAGCTTGATGTAGAAGTGAACCTTGTCCTGAGCGCGGGGGAACTGGGCACACCGGGGGCTTGACGAGGGCATCAAGTAGCACACCTGGGGTGTATTTAATGAGTGAAAATGTTTGCAACGTTGCAGGTAGGAATGTAATGTGCAGAGCCGACATGACTCACAAACACTAAACTTGATCTACACACAATACATTTCTATCCGAATATTCTATAACGCTGCACCCTCTTGAACAGACCCCAAAACAACAGTATGAACAGCCAATGAGAGGAACAGAGAATGGCCACAAACATCAAGATACATGATACAAACATTTGCGACTTCTTACTATTTTGGTAAATCTACTTACCGTTTCGGTTTCTGGGATTGTGTACGGCTGTAAGCCGAACTCGAGTTTCTTTGCCTTCACTCCAAAGATCTCTTTGCTGAAAATTTCGTAAATACCTGCCAAAGAGCAATGCAATGATTATCATCATCATTTTTAATAGTATATTTTTTAAGTTAACTGTAAAAGACAGCATAAAAAACTACAATTGTAATTACTGATATCCTCTACAAAAATGTGCTCACATTTTCCATTGAAAGCAGCAATTAGTGGCTTGTATTTCTTCAGCTTCTCTACCAATTGATGGCCTCCTTCCCGAAACTCTTTGCTGTGGAAATAGTAACACAGTTAGCCTAGACAATGAACAGCCAATTAACCATGATGACAATTATAAACTAAAGAGAAAACACAACATGGAAGTTAGTTTTTATAACTATTATTACTATGATGGCACGTTTAATAACATACATTTGACAATTATTATACATTTGAACAAAAAAAGGGTTTGACACCTTGAGAGGTCTTTGCTTCCTGGGGTTGTTCTCTCCACCATGTTGGTAAAGCCAATGCCATACTTCTCCGGTAGGCTCTGATCGTGCATGTGGTTGAGCTGCTCTTCAGTAAGACCAGAGAGGAACAGGCATTTCCCTAAGGTCCGAAACAAGAACTAGCTCAGTCACTTTCATCATAATGTTACTAATAACGTGGGTCGTGCTCACTAGGCACGAAACGTAAGAAGGCTGTCTCAAACGAGTTAAACAGGGAGGTACTATCTGAACTTGTCCAACAAGAACAGCTAGCTTTTGTTTTCCGTTTTGCTACGGTGTGCCCCAATAAACATGACCCTGATCAGGCAGTCAGTATGTCATATTACAATATTCTGGATATATGAAAATAGAAGTGAAAAAAATAATACTGAGTGAAACGTACAAAAATGATTTCCTGGGTTTGGGTAATGTCGTCCCTTGTAGGCTGACAATAGTCCTGGATTGATACCAATCTGAGAAAGGGATAATAAAATACCTTATTATTGCAACATGCTAGAGAACGAAAAGTTATTTTAGAGATTAGATTTTCACGTAATTAATAGCTTTAATCTAACTAACATTTGCGTTTGATCCATGGGCTATCATTAGAGGGAAACGGTACAGATAAAACAAATGTAGCCAAACTTCACATCAAAAGACCTACTCAACATTCCCATTCCAAAAATGTCACTCATTGAATGATGTTAAAACTCACTATCAAAATGTCCAGGTTGTGGTCAATAATGTCTGGCAGGGTTTTGGCCATAACCTCATCCACTGACATGCCATTGAAGCGGTTAAGGGTCCTTTTGGCTTTCTTCAGAGCCTCTGCCTGATCGTGGTCCTCCTGTGGTTGGCCCTCCCCCGGCTTCTGTTTGGGAGGTCGACCTCTCTTTCTCTTCCCTGGCATTGGAGCTAAAATAAAGAAAATTAACAAGTTTGAGGGGAATGTGTTTGAGGCGAGCTGCAGAATCACTTATCTTGATCACATAATGAGTGCCTATCTGGGAAGCAAGGTGATTTATAGATCAGTGATCCTGTGCAGTCCGACTGCAATGTAGTCAATCTCAAACATGCCAAATGATTCTGTAAAAGGTGCTAGACAAATAATTGAATTGATTGACCGATTGATTACAGGAACAGCACTGCATGAGGATGGGTCAGTTCATGTTAATACCAGGGAGATGGGGACTGGGGAAATGTGTTTACGGTATGTGGAGGAAAGAGAGCACAGAGTGGCAAATCGAGCTGTACAAATATTTACCAAGCAAACATGGTAGATTGCATGGCTAAGTAGGGGGAGGGGCAGTAATCACATACCTTGTGATGTATCCACAGGCTGATGATGTTGGACAATTGGCTCTTGATGGCCGAGGAAGTCATGATGGAAGTCCAGTTCTTGGTGGACAGGGAGCTCCTGGTGGACCGACAGCTCCGTCATGACCCGGTCCTCTCTGGATCCCTCCATGTAATGACCCATATGACCTGTGTTATGGTACTGCATCACATGTTGAGCTTGGGGGTGCTGCTGGGTGGACTGGTACCTACAGGTCGAGAAGACAACGGGACAAGAGGCAGACTGGGGTGACACTATCTTCTTTTGTTTTCATGGGATTTGTCACGAGATGAGACGAAACTGATGACAAACAAAATGACGCACAAACGACGGAGGGCCCATAGACAAATTGTTCATGCTCCTAGGATCTCAGAATGAGTTTACATCAACAAAGATGATAGAGGCCTTCAAATAATACATGTTTCACACACACATTGGTTTGACATGTCATGTTTCCTGGTCAGAAAAAACTTATGGCCCTACTCATGGGCCAATAATTTGATTTCATATGGATGTGTGCTATTAATGACCATGTTTTAATTATGCATATGTTTTAAGGTCTAGGATTACTTTAGTTAAATGTAAATGGCCATATCAATGACACGTTGCCTCATACTCTGCATCAACAGAGTAACTTTGCATATAGACTTCCAATGACATTTTTTTATTAGCAAATCTTAAATTTGATTATGTACCATGTAGAGCTGTCTTTGTTTGTCGGTCTGTCTGTTTTTCTGAATTCCTTCCCGGCTGTCTGTCTACACAGGACCATGATTGCTTCTTCATTTTAAAAGTACAGTGTTGCAATAAGAAGCATGCTTTTTCTGATGTTGTTTGTGATGATGACAATAATGCATAGCCTAGTGTAGGCCTCGACAATAGTAACTGTTTTGTCAGTTGTTACAAAATTCAATTTATTTCATAAATGTATGTTGATGGAGACTGCACTGACACTCCACAACAATTGTATTTTATGCAAAACCTCCAACACCAATGCATTTGGAGGACAACTCACCACTGTTGGAGATAATCCGTAGGAACCGTCAGTGACGTATACTGCTTTTCTTCCATCTTTACGAGGATTTACTTAAATAAATTAATATTCATGTTTCTGTTAGCTACAATGATATGCCTTTACTCTGTAAGTTACCACAGTAGGAGTACTGGCAAGCTGTAGGTCTTTAGATTTGGCAAACTGATTGTTATCATAGCACCACAAAGACGTCTGGTGGTAGGAAGGGCTACGGACAACCAACATTCATTCTAGCTACACAGTCTACTATACTAAACAAGATTTCTGGAAATTGCGTAGGAGGGTATATAAACGTGCTAGCGAAACTAATAAAATATGTTGTGTAGAGACATACCTGTTATACATATGTTTACAATTCCCTTTTCAGCAAATGCACCGAATGAGGGCGATCAATGCACCCAAAACAAAGACCATTTAGGAACATTGGGGGGATCTGTCTTCAGTTTGTTGGCTTTTTCCTAGCAAAAGTATTTGCATTGTCGCCACCTACTGGGTTGGAGTATGGATCTAGGCTCACATCAACTTGGCTTTTGTGCCATTAACCCATTATATTTAAATGTGGCTTATCTACATAATGTAGGTACATTACGCTTTTGACCAGAATGAAAAAGTCGTTTCAGAATTTCACAACTACAGATTCCATCTCTCGAAAATGGAACGAGATAGGTGGCAGTAGCGCGCCAATATTACCCACACCGGTAACATAACATTCTAAAGAAGAAGAAACGCTGCGTTAGCAGAGCTGTTATCTAGCTAAGTGACCTGCCAATGTGCTTCAATTATAAATAGATTTCTGTTGGAAACAACAGTTCTTCAAACTCGCCTTTTATCTGTTTCAGAATAGAGCAAGGTAATGTTAATAGCTGAGTGCAAGTGTTTATTTTAGGTGGTTTGACTATGGAGCAAAGACCAAAGATCTACTACTAGCTTGCTAGCTACTCAGCTAGCTAGGTAACGTTACATATGCCAAGTGACATAACTAAGGATTGAGATATATGGGATATAAGATATTTTGGAGACAGAACTACTGTAGCAGTATGACAATGGATCCCTGATGATGTTCCATGTAATATCAGAAAATCTGTGTTTCACATGTAAACTGTGTTTCTTGTGGCTGTGATTATGGAAGGTCATGAATGTACCCTACTACAAGCCCTTAGCATGTTGTGATGATTATTTGATTGAAGGATGATGTTGGGGTACTGGTTAGGGTTAGCACAACGCCCACCCATCCAGAACCAATCAAAATCTTCCAGCTTTATGCTAATGTCAAATCACTACACCACTGTCTGTCTCTCTCCTGTATAGGTAACTGATTGGTCCTCTTGGCTGATGTGAAGATGCCTGCTGGTGTGTCTTGGCCTCGGTACCTGCGGATGTTTGGTGCCAGTGTACTATCTATGTTTGTCGGAGCAGAGGTTGTCCATCAGTACTACAGACCTGATCTGGTAAGCATGGAAACAAACTCCTATCCTTCCCCATGTGCTTTTTCATTATATGACCACATGTATCGTAAAATGAAGGGTCCACATTGTCTTGTGTTTTGCATACTTATTCATAAGATCGTAAATGCATTGCTTGAAATGTTGCTGATACGCCAATGTAATGCATGCACCTTTTATTTCCCTTTGCCAGACTATTCCAGAAATCCCTCCCAAACCTGGCGAGTTGAGGACTGAACTGCTGGGATTTAAAGCCAGAGAAGAGGCTGCTGCCGCTGCTGCCCAAAGACAGTGACCATTTCAGTAGACTGATTAATTATTGTACAGTATCTAACTCTGGAGCAATCATTGTACATATTGCACATGTTTAAAAACCACAAAGGGACAAATGTGAATAAAACAAAATGGATGTACATGTGCGTATCACATTTGTTATGAAAAGGACTCTAATGTGGTATAAATGTGCCTGTGCCAATTCTATTCAAAGTTGCTTCAGGCAATGATGGCTGGTTGGAGCTTCAGGCTCCTCAGCCTATTTAGGTCAGGAGCCTACAATTGCATTTATCAAACCTACTGTCATGGAGAACTCATGAGGTTGTGGGTTCGATTCCCACGGGGGGCCAGTATGAAAAAAAATATATATATGCACTCACTAATTGTAAGTCGCTCTGGATAAGAGCGTCTGCTAAATGAGTAAAATGTAAATGTAATGAGGTCTTGAGTATAGGACTACTTGCAGAGAAGACACCCCTTTGCTGTTCTTGATGCGAGAGCCATAGCAAAGTGATCTCAAGTTTTAACCATGTCTTCTGATTGATCACTCATGTCTCCAGCCTTGCCACATGCTGTGTGAATGTCAGATATAGATACTGCGCAGACTAGTATGAGTATGTCAGATACTGTATGTATGTAAATGTTCAGTGGGTTTTTAAGCAGCAGATGTGAATAAAATGTTTATTGGGTTTATGCTTTTAATATACTTTTATGTTGGGTTAATATACTTTTATGTTGGGTCCACACGCAACAAAAAAAAATCGTAGAAAGGGCATCTTTCACCAAATATATTTCAAAATCGGAGTTTCATTATTTATTAATGAATAAACTTTGAAATTATTCTGAAAGTTATCATTCTGATTTTGATCATTCAGGCGCGCACAGCAGACCATTGTCGCAGACAGCGCCAGAGGTTTTGGCGTATCCATAGCAACCATAGATAGCAACCAATGTAGCTAGCTAGACTTGTGAGACGGCAAGAATGGCGACACCAAGAGAGCAAGAGGCTGCAGATTATCTTAGAAAACACAAAATTATCGAACTCATGGATAATTTAACAAGCATGCTCTTCTTTTACAGACCAGGTTAGACTTCTTTTTTTAAATTATTTGTTCACATTTTCTTCCCATCTTGTTTGGTGGCTGAAGTAAAACGTAAGCTAGCCTGCTGCTGTGCTAACGCAAATTGTACTGACTGCTTGACTAACGTTAGGAAAGAGGGACATCATAATAAACTCATCACTAGCATCCTCTTTGGTAACATTAGTAATTGAAATCCCCCCCAAATCAGTGTTGTTTTTCAGGATCTGTTTCACACTAGTTTGCAAAAGAGAATGGTTGAGATATACTGAAAATAAGTTGTTAATAGTAATATGCCACATAGCAGACGCTTTTATCCAAAGCGACTTACAGTCATGCGTGCATACATTTTGTTTGTGTATGGGTGGTCCCGGGGATCGAACCCACTACCCTGACGTTACAAGCGCCGTGCTCTACCAGCTGAGCTACAGAGGACCAATGTTTGATCTACTGCAAAACAGGAGGATCATTCCTATGACATAGCCTACCTAGCAGGGCAGGCTAAGCTTTGTGGAATATTGACACATGACATACATATTTTTCCCCATCATTTGTTTCTACTACAGAGAGACCAAATGAGTTCCTGATCACACAGCTTGAACAACTGAGAGTGTCCAAAATGCGGTCACTGGATTGCCCAAGCCTGTTCAATGACACAAACCTGGATGCCGTTTTGGGAATCTTGGACCCTATCAAGCAAGGGCACATCACTTTTGTTCAGTACAAGGAGGGTGAGTCACAGAAATGGTCCATTTGATCATTTGCGAGGCAATGGCCCAGAAACAATTTGGGGGGGATAGGACAGTGTATCAGATCACCTACTGTATCAGATAAGTGCATCAAAAACAAGTGGGGGGCATACCAATGATTCGGCCTATATAAGTCTAAGCCTATAAGTCTAATAATAATATACCACACCCCAATGTTTATGCCTTTCCATCACTCCCAAGGAAACACTCATTCAACATACTATGTATGATTCTGTTTCGCAGCACTAACCACTTTGGGGATTGAGAAGTTTAATGAGTGTCCTGAAGGTGTGGCCAAGGACAAGATATCTCAGGAAACCTTCAAGAGAGAGGCGTAAGATCTATAGATCTCTTTTAAGTCAAACATAAGCCAAATATTCATTCACTGTTTGTTATTGTGAGATACTGTGTGATATGACTATCTTTGTCATTTTTTCTATATTTTTTTTACAGGAAGGAGGGCTTACAGAGAAGCTCAGCAACATTTATATCTAAATAAAATTGGAGATCTCTGTCCCATCACTCTGAGCGTGTGATATTTTGACTGATATGTCTATGATGGCTATATGAACTCTTCATAATAATGAAATGTATGGTCAAATTGGATTAGTTATACAGTCAGGCATGTGTTGTCTGGACCCAGTATGGTCACAGTCTTGAATGCAAGTTGTCTCGGCTTGTCCACCATACATCAATGGGCATGCACCTGTTCGAAAAGTCCTACACAAATCCAAGTATATGTTATTATATGTTAACTAAGCAAAGCTTCAGTTTAGAAAATATTCATTTTACTGGCTATCAAGAGGTTTTATGTGGACGCTATTGTTTTGTGTTTACAGTAAGCAACTGTTTTCAACATGTTTTAGTTTTGCAATATATTGTGAAACGTTGACATCTTGAACACCCCCAGGATGAATGAGGGGGCGTGGTTGTGGTGGAGCCATGGCGTTCCCTGTCCACGAAGCTACAATACTCTTGAGCCGAGTGTGAATTAAATGTCCCTTAATTTCGTAAAATAAACACCAACATTTGAAGTACATTACATTCAAGACCTAATCATGGGCACCGTTCACGCGAGGGTAAGGATAACTGCTTAAAATGCAAAGGGTGAAAGCATGACCTCTGAGTACAGTAGCCGTAATAGCTAGCGTAGTCATAGCACGCAAAGCGAAAGGGGCCCAGTTGGACAGCTTGCCAACTATGGCAGCTAGCTAAACTCCAGAAACACGAACTGTCCATACCTTGTCACTAAGTGAAGGAAATTAACATGTTCAAATGCTGCATAGTTGCAACAACAGCACCGGTGTAGCGCGCGCACTACAGCCACTGATCATATGCATGGGGGTTCATTAACCATTTGCATTATTAGATGCTTAAAACCACAGTCTGAAATTTCCAGTAAATTCAACTAATTACATTTTGAAGAATGTGACTTGTAAATACCAGTCTTGTGGTCAGGTGCCACGAAGAGGGACTTACGAAAATTACAATTGGCCCAGAACAGGGCAGCACGGCTGGCCCTTAAATGTACAAGGAGAGCTAACATTAATATGCATGTCAATCTCTCCTGGCTCAAAGTAGAGTTTGACTTCATCACTACTTGTCTTTGTGAGAAATATTGACATGTTGAATGCACCGAGCTGTCTGTTTAAACTACTAGCACACAGCTCAGACACCCATGCATCAGTGGAGGCTGCTGAGGGGAGGACTGCTCATAATAATGGCTGGAACTGAGAGAATGGAATGGCATCAAACACATGGAAACCATGTGTTTGATTTATTTGATAACATTATACTTATTCCGCTCCAGCCATTACCACGAGCCCGTTCTCCCCAATTAATGTGGCACCAACCTCCTGTGCCATGCATACCCCACAAGACATTCCACCAGAGGTCTCTAAACAGTCCCCAAGTCCAGAACAGACTATAGGAGGCGCACAGTACTACATAGAGCCACGACTACATGGAACTCTATTCCACATCAAGTAACTCATGCAAGCAGTAAAATCTGATTTTTAAAAACACATAAGAATACACCTTATGGAACAGTGGGCACTGTGAAGAGACACACACACTTGTACAGACACACACATGATAACATACCCACTATACACACACGTACACATGGATTTTGTGTTGTAAATATGTGGTAGTAGAGTAGAGGCCTGAGGGCACACACTTAATGTGTTGTGAAATGTAATATATTGCAAATTGTATATAACTGCCTTAATTTTGCTGGACCCCAGGAAGAGTTGCTGCTGCCTTTGCAGCAGCTAATGGGGATCCATAATAAATACAAATACAAATGTTGAGATTAACTAGTACCTTATCATAATGACCAAAACACTAAAGCCACCTAACTACCTGTTCAGCTAATGAGTTTTGTACAGATATCTTTACAATACAATATATAGCCTGATAAGTAATCGTATTCATCACTAACTCTGATGTGTTGCAGAGTCTTGATCCTCTGCCAATGCATGGACCCGAGCTGGGGTTTCATGCAGATGACATTGAGACGCCAGATATGGAGCAGGAGTCAAAACAAGAGGTCCTTGAAAACAAAGATGTAAGGTGTTTTGGTAACTCAGTCCTGAATGAAAACCACATTGGCTCAAGTTGTTACTTAATCCAATATAATTTCTGTTTGGTTGAATGTAAAAGTTACCTTTTATTGTTGCCTGTCAATGCAGATTATAATTCCTTTATATATATTTGTCCTATAGGTCATAGTCCAACGTGTACACATAGATGGTCTCGGAAGAACCAAGGAGGATTGCTTAACATACGAGATTGCTGATGTCTTCCGAGCCAAGAACTTGATTGACGTGAGTGAATCTATCAGTACAGTACAGACCATGGATTTTCGTGTGGAGTCTGTATAGAGACTGTAGCAAAAGTATGATCAACTTTGTTTACTGTTTGTTCTAGGTCATGAAGAGAGCCCACGAAGCCAGGCAGAAGCTCCTACGTCTTGGTATCTTCAGACAAGTGGAGGTTGTCATCGATACCTCACAAGGTACTGTGGTTAGAAAGGTGATCTATTCTGAATCTGAACAGTATCTGTCCAAAGTTTAGTATGTTACTTTGGAAGAGACTTAAATGAATGGGAAAGTGGGTAAAGCACTCACAACAAAACAATACTTCCTTTCAGGGGTGGATGCTTTACCTAATGGACTAGATGTGACGTTTGATGTGACTGAGCTGAAACGTATGACTGGTAGCTATAACACCATGGTTGGAAATAACGAAGGCTGCATGGTGAGAACTCCTGAGTGATGGGCTCTATTCAGTGCATCGTTTCAATTCATTTCTCACATCCTATCTCCTCGCCTGCTTCTCAACCGTATTGGAGGAGAAGGTCCAAAGCCCCTCCCCCTAGGACCTTCTCCAATGCATTTGAGAAGGAAGCGAGGAGAGCGGATACCAGGAATCGAGGAAAGATTAATTTAGAAAGAGCCATGGTGGTGATTACAAGTGCTATTGCGGTACCGTCCTCTGTTGTCATGTTTTTACTAGTTTACCTGCCTCCTACTTTAGGTTCTTGGTCTGAAGCTGCCCAATGTCTTCGGTCGTGCAGAAAAGCTCACCTTCCAGTTCTCCTACGGCACCAAAGAAACTTCCTATGGGCTGTCGTTCTTCAAGCCCCAACCTGGCCACTTTGAGCGCAAGTATGAGAAAAACCAAGCTGCTAATTCCATCATTAGCAATGCTTGAAAAACTGTGAATTGTGTTGTTGTTTATTTTGTATTTCCCTGAGCTCTTTTTGTCGTATCTATCTAATTGACTTTCTCTGGCTGTTGCAGTTTCGCCGTCAACTTGTACAAAGTTGCAGGCCAATTTCCATGGAGCTCGCTGAGAGAGACTGATCGTGGCGTCTCCACAGAATTCAGTGTAAAGATCATTTCCCATTAATTCATCATTACTGTACAAGGTCTCGTGTGGTATACTCCTGTGCTCTGTGTTACCTCCGGACTCTATGTGAAATAACCAAAGTGATTGTTTTATTTTTGCTGTTGTTATGCTAACTAATATGAGTAGAATTGAATTTCTCAGCTATTTTACTATTCAATTTCATCCTACTGTAATGCTTTTGCAAATGCTTGATCCTCTCTGGTTTCTTCCTTACTGTTTTGCATACAAACAGTTCCCTCTCTGGAAGACAAACCACACCCTGAAGTGGGAGGGTGTGTGGCGAGAGCTGGGCTGTCTGACGCGTACTGCATCGTTTGTAGTCCGGGAGGAGAGCGGCCACTCCCTCAAGTCATCACTCTCGGTAACGGGACTTCAGTTTCGCTTCACAATCCCCCCACAACTACCTTTAGTACCAGGGATTTATTTATTATTTTTATTTAACCGTTATTTAACCAGGAAAAGCCCATTGAGACCCAGAGTCTCTTTTTCAAGGGAGACCTGGCCAAGAAGGCAGCAACAATCAATACATTACAGAATTAAAAACATACAATACAATTCAACAACATGATCCAGACTTTTTTAAAAGCATTTACACTCCTCTGTGACAGTCTCCCATCAAAATGTTGAATTCATTCAGTGGCACTGACATATCTAGATGAAGCATGGATTGTAGACTATTCCATGCCTCTGGTGCACAAAACAAGAAGGCAGTCTTGCCTAATCATGATAATACATTTGAGCCCAAATCCTATTTTGAGATCTGTACACTTAATTTGGACTTTTGTGCAGATCTTGCATTGATGATGTCAATGGGAAATGTGTGCAAAAATGTGTTTTGCGCAGGTGGATCTCAAGTTAGGATTTGACCCACTGAGACATTTGAGACAATACTTTTCATCAACATGTCTCCTCTCCTTTGCAATCATAGCACTCCATGGTCATCGACACCAGAAACTCTGCAATCCTTCCCAGGAGTGGTGCCTTGCTGAAGATCAACCAGGTGTTTAGGTTTACATTACCTGGCCAGTGTTGCAGCCAGTAATAATTTCCTATTTAAACCATTTCCCAAACCATGTTGAACCAACAACACATTCAGCTGATGCATTGTTGTGGTTTTGCAGGAGTTGGCTGGATACACTGGAGGAGATGCCAGCTTCCTGAAAGAGGACTTTGAGATCCAGTTTAACAGACGTCTCTTCTGGGACTCGGTGAGAACCTCAATTGTTTTATTTATCAAGAAGAAATGTGTGTGTGAACTTTAGTTACACACATGGATCTAAAGTTGGAATGCAGTCTGAGTATTGAACTGGTAATAATCACTTTTACAGTAAACACAAGTTATAACCAACAGCTTGTTGATGGAGGGTTGACAAATGGTTGTGGTCAGGTTGGAATAAATGTGGGATAAAAGAGCAAGTGGGAGAGCACCTTTGATGAGACCTCTTCCTCTATCTTCCAGGTCCTGTCTGCATCTCTCTGGGGGGGGTGCCTCCTGCCCATTGGAGATAAGCCAACTTGCATTGCTGACAGGTAAGACAGTACTCTCTATTCCACAATACCGCCACTGAAAAGCAGGGATGTCAAACATGGCCCGCGAGACGATTTAACGTGGCCTCCCATGTTATCTGTATATTAGGATGTTTCTTGACCCTTTAATGGTTTTCTACCTGCAACTGCTTGGTGTCCGACCACAAGGCGCTACAGAGGGTAGTGCGTACGGCCCAGTACATCACTGGGGCCGAGCTCCCTGCCATCCAGGACCTCTATACCAGGCGGTGTCAGAGGAAGGCCCTAAAAATTGCCATACTCCAGCCACCCAGTTCTCTCTTTTAGCGCACGGCAAGCGGTACCGAGTCTTGGAACCAACAGGACCCTGAACAGCTTCTACCCCCAAGCCATAAGACTGCTAAACAGTTAGTCTGAGTAGCTATTGGTTAACTATTTAACTATCTGCATTGACCCGTTTTGCACTAATTATTTTGACTCATCACATACGCTGCTGTTACTGTTTATTAACTATCCTGTTGCCTAGTCACTTTATCCCTACATATATACCTCAATTGCCTCGTACCCCTGCATACAGCCAAGTTATCATTACTCATTGTGTATTTATTCCTTATGTTGTTATTTTTATATTATTTCAATTTTTTCCCTCTCTGCATTGTTGAGAAGGGCCTGTAAGTAAGCATTTCACTGTTAGTCTACACCTGTTGTTGACGAAGCTTGTGACAAATACAATATGATTTGATTTTTGATCTACATTTACATTTACATTTTAGTCATTTAGCAGACGCTCTTATCCAGAGCGACTTACAGGATCAATTAGGGTAAAGTGCCTTGCTCAAGGGCACATCGACAGATTTGTCACCTAGTCGGCTCGGGGATTAGAACCAGCGACCTTTCGGTTACTGGCACTACGCTCTTAACCACTAAGCTACCTGCCGCCCCTATGTGTCTCTTAGGTTCTATCTCGGTGGTCCTACTAGCGTCAGGGGATTCAGTATGTACAGCATCGGCCCTCAGAGTGAAGGTGAGATGTTATCCACTGTCCGTTTCAATAAAGTCCCATTTAAGATAGGTTACATTCTCACATCACGTGTGGTTTTATTGTTGGTATGACAGGTGACTACCTGGGAGGTGAGGCGTATTGGGCTGGAGCCGTCCACCTGTATACTCCACTGCCTTTCCGTCCAGGCAAAGGGGGCTTCGGAGACCTCTTCAGGACCCACTTCTTCCTAAATGCCGGGAACCTGTGTAACCTCAACTATGGTGGGTGTTTAAAGATGTAATTCACCCCACAATCAATGTTGTTCAAATTCATCCGTAGGAGAAATCTGTAGGACTCAATCACCATTATATTGGAAGGAATGGCCACCACCTAATAATAATCAGTCTTTTTTATGACAACTTAGTCATATGGTATTTGGGTCAGGTATTGGTTTAAACCCACTCAATTTACAATGGTCTGTTCTGGGACTTTATACAGGGAAAGAGAATCCTCTGTGCTTTTCAGTCCTCTAGGTCAGTGGTTCCCAAACTGTGGGGCGCGCCCCCTAGGGCAACTCAGTCCGGCTTTCAACCTACTCTTGAAAGTTGTAATAGTAGAATGCACAAGGTGCAATTTCGAGATTGGGTAGTGCATCATCAGTTCCTCTTGTCATGTTAGTCATTGCAAACCTTAGAGAGCTATTAATAACTTGTCAGAAATTTCCAGATCAAATCTTTTTTTCAGCTGTGTTTTCTTAGCCCATAGATTTTGTAGTAATGTTTGAGTCACTCAAATATCACATGAATACACATTAGACATGGCAAAATCTATAGAATTGCAAGACAATTAGCTTTAAAACTGCAAAATGTTCTCTGCACCCCATGACAAAATGTGTAGAATTGCAGCAACAGTGCTTGTGCCCATAGAAATAGACCTGGCGCGCGCGCACAGGGATGGAAGGGGAGCCTGAGTGAAAACGTCTGGGAACCCCTGCCCTGGCTTTACTCAGGATGTGTGTGTTTTCCAGTAGGTGACGGGCCTCAAGCACACCTGAGGAAACTGGCAGAGTGTATCCGCTGGTCTTACGGAGTGGGAATCGTGCTGCGACTAGGAAACATTGCCCGGCTGGAGCTCAACTATTGCATTCCCATGGGCGTCCAGAGTGGAGACAGGTAGCCTATTATCTTCTCGTTCTGTTGTCAAACCATGACATGATAGTCCTAAGCTTAGAAACAATACTATATAGGTCATAGGTCATATAGATGAGCAGTACACTTTTATGCCTGATTCAAATAATAGGGCCGACTCGAACTGTGCTGTGCTGGCTCGGTTATTTTATTTTCCAGTTTCCTTTCCAGCATGGTTTCAGCAACTATGGTGGATGCGTAACCAAGCCAGCCCAGTACAGCTCGGCTTGGATCGGTTTGGCTCGATATTGTGAAAAGGGGATTGGGTTACTGTTAAGAAATAACACTTTAGCCTTTGTTTGTTTAGGATATGCGACGGGTTTCAGTTTGGAGCTGGAATCCGATTCCTGTGATGTCCTCCTGCTGTCTTGCTGAATTGAGTTGTGGACAACAGGAGTTTGTTTCCTTGGTTTTAAGTAAGTGAGACGTGGGGACCCTTGCAGTACACCGAAGGTTGCTGGAAATGCAATGGCTACTACAACCAAGCTATTGTAAAATGGATGAGGCAACAATGGAGATTTTCCTCCAGTACTAATGAATGACGGGAGCCACCAGTGCTCAAGATGTGGAAACCAAAGAAGGTGATATATCAGCCATGAGTGCCCTTATCATGACTCAAATAATGTGGTCTGGATTATTATGCTCGGTAATAAATTATGCTCGGTAATAAATTATGTTCACCTCTACAGGTATTCAAAGACCACACTAGTATGTGTCTTTCTATGGCATTGACCTACCTTCCGGTTGATTTAGCATGGCATGGATTTATGGTTAGTGCATTGAAACACAGCATGGATTAAACCATTTTTGCCTCAAGGTTAGGTCAGACAAGCTTCTAGATGTGCTTGAGTTGGTCAGAGTATATTATTTATTAAGGAGCTGTGCCAAAAAAGTATAAAGTAAATGAACGGGCCAGTACCCCTACTTTATGTATAGGATATGTGTTTGCCATCACTGCTATCAAATTGATTACTCCACTCGGCACGCAATAATATAAACAACCTTATTTTAGGGAATATGAAGAAGATTAACATTGCATACTGGGGAATCTTGTCCGCCCATTCAGAACGTTGATGTTGTTTGAAGCGGGCCCATGCGCATTAAAGTCCTTCCTGATGTTAATTTTGGTAGCAAGGCTAGTGTACGTTGTAGGAACGGACTGCGTGGTTTCGTTCACAGCGAACATACTATACGTTTCCTCCCCCCCTCCCCATCCCCTTTTCCAATACACAGTACTACCAGAACGTAGTGTTGTTTATGTTTGGAGAAATTCTGGACTAAAAGGGACGAATTGAAAGTAATATCTGTGGAATATTGTTGGTATTCTCATCTCGACAACACGCAGTCGGACACACTGATGGCGGTCACTATCGAGGAGCTGTATCGTAACTATGGGATCCTTGCTGATGCCAAGCCAGAGGACCTGAACCAGGTAAGCATCAAATGAATGGCTAGCTAATTGAAATATCTTCCAGAATAGCTACCTTTTCATATAAATTATATCAGCAGTGGAAGCCAAAGGTGAAAGTTATGCTAACGAATTGGCTACATAGCCAGCTAGCTAGCATCGCCTGGACATGCTAAACAAGTGTTAGCTTGCTAACTAGCTAAAATGTGCCTATGTAGGTAGCTAACGTTAATCCTTCTTCATTTCAGTTAACGTAACCCGACGTTTTTAGTTTAGCTTGTCAGCTAGCTCAGTCATGGAACATCGCTAGTTAGCTGTGTGCAATCAACTTTAATTTCTAGCAAGCGGGGTAGTTAGCTAGATACCTAACGACGATTTTAGCGGCTAGTTAGCTATCTAAGTACTGTAGTTGGCCTAGATGAGTTGATGTTGATTCCCGCGCACAGCTTCTGCCGAAAACGTATTTACGCCATGACTCTTGCAACTTGTCATGTTGGTAAGATTTACAATGTTAAACTCAAAGGCTAGCTGACACAGCAGGCAGCTGAGGGAAGGACGGCTCATAATAATTGCCGGAGTAAATGGCATGGCCTCAAACACATGGAAACCATGTGTTTGATGTATTTGAAACCATTCGGCTCCAGCCATTACCACAAGCCCGTCCTTCTCAATTAAGATGCCACCAACATCCTGCGCTAGCTAGCTACTATGCCAAGGGCTTCAAACATTGCAGGCTTGTTTGGCAGAACGCTCAATTTTCTAGTCCTCTACTGAACACTTTTGACCAATTCACTGGAAGCTTTTGCATTCATGTTGGACAGTGATGTCCTATATTACAAACTTGTGAATGTATCAATTTGTTTCCATCTCTTCTCCAGCACAAATATGCCTATCAGGTGATCCTTGATGGGGTGAAGGGGGGTCCCAAGGAGAAGCGCTTGGCTGCACAGTTCATTCCCAAATTCTTCAGCAGTTTCCCAGAGCTGGCAGATGCGGCAATCAATGCTCAGCTTGACCTGTGTGAGGATGAAGACGTCTCAGTAAGGATTTGATCCCAGTGGGACTATCATTTCCATTTGGAAAATACTATTGTCACAATTCATTTGACAAAATATAACATGCATATACCACTATACACACTTGAAACATAAGAAGTTAGATTTGAGAAATCAATCAATCAATGTAAAAGTGTACTTGGGTAATGCCTGATCAGAGTAGTCACACTACTCCATTTCTCACCTGTTGTTGGTTTGTCATCTTCCTTCCTCCTGTAGATTCGGAGGCAGGCCATCAAAGAGCTCCCCCGTTTCGCAGCCGGGGAGAACATCGTCAGGGTAGCAGATATCCTCACCCAGCTTCTCCAGACAGGTACAGTACTCTTGAGCTAACCCACCTACTACTTCTTCTTGTACGTTTCCGGCAAAGACGCTGTATTTCTCAGGTTGGGGTGCAAATGACACATTTAATTATCTAATAGCCTCACACCCGTAGGTGCAGGCCACTGGAATAGAGAAACCACAACGTCCTTGCTATTTCGCTCTGCCTGTCATTTGAGGCCAAAATTGTTACAAGCGAAAATGTGGTTACGCCCAACTCGGCCAGCTCACAGAAAAATGTCCTCCTATCCTCAGCATACCGCCTGCAATATAACAGGACATGCTTCACATTATCTACCTCTCCACATTCCTCACACTTCCCATCTGGTTGTTTCCCCACTAGCAATAACCCACTTCCCAATCCACAATGGCCCAACCTCAGCCTTGTCAACAGAACCCCATCCCCCCCCCCCCACCCTTTCACTCCCCAGATACCTGCTGACCTTCCTCACAGACTTCTGGATAGAGAAAAACTGCCTCCCTCTCTCCCACTCATGTTGCCACTCCTGGGTCAACCCCTCTGCTATGATACTCCTACATTCCATCCCCCCCCTAACGGGACAACCACATCTACCTCCTCCCTCTTCAGAGCCGCCTTCGCTACCTTATCTGCTGCCTCATTTACCCCTACCCCCAACATGAAAACCTATCTTACTCCCTTTCTGCACCACCCTATAAAGTGCAATCAACGGCACTATTATCAGGTCTGTGCTTGTCTTTGACTTCCCTTTTCTCAGGCTAGCAGCAGCGTCTGAACACAAAATGACCCTATTAGGCCACACTGTTTGTACTATCCTGGGAGTGGACATTATGTATGCCATAGCGTAGTTTGTCAGAAGATATGTACTTTCTGTGAAACTGTGGGACCAATATTTATACTCTCTTCTACGTTGGTGCTTACAGATGATTCGGCCGAATTCAGCCAAGTGAACACAGCGCTGGTCTCCATCTTCAAGATGGACGCAAAGGGTAAGCGTCGATTTTTCTCTCACGTTTGAATAGGCTTTCAATTGTTAAAAGACGGACTACTTCATGAGTGAACAGGCAGGATAATGCAATGCTCTACGAATACAAATGTAGTTAAGAAGAAATAGTCGTTTCTCAGATGTTTTCATACCTCAAGCGGACTTTATTCCACACGATCTGTTGTGTAGAACCTCGCACAACGCTTTAAGAGAAATTTGGCAGGCCTCAATCGCAAATGAAGTGGGAAAATGGGCATTAGAGTTAGATGATGTCGTTTGTTGAAGTGAGCATAACATGGCTTCCCCTCCAAGGCTGAAGGACTGTATAGCCTCTAAGTACTTTGTCTAGCCAACCTGTATCTCTCTGCTCGGCCTCAGCTACCCTGCGAGGCCTCTTCTCTCAGATCCTGCAGGGGGAGGACATAGTGAGGGAGAGGGCCATCAAGTTCCTCTCCATCAAGCTGAAGACACTGCCTGAAGACACCATGACCAAGGACGTGGAGGACTATGTGTTCACAGAGACAAAGAAGGTATGTTCCATATCTCTCTGCTTTGGTAGCAACCATCAAAGTGAATCACCTGGGATGATACACTCCATGCTTGAGGCTGTTTAGTAGAGCACTTTGTGAAAGGGCTCAGATGGGATGAAGTAGAATGTGTTTTTCTTACTATTATTGGCAAACTGAATACAAGATCTCCATAGGAGGGATCTGTAATCTAGTTGTGTGTTGGATATATTTGTAACTGGTCAGCCTCACGTTGACTCCTGGATCTTGTTCATTAGGGCACAACATAGCAAAACGTCTTGCAAGCGAAAATGACTGTTTCTTGTTGGACAAGTCCATGTAGTCCCTCCCCGTTGTAGTCTGGTTTTCTTTAGCTTTGTGCCTACTGAACACGTCTCAGCCCTCTGACCCACATTGACCTCTGAACCATTCCCCCTCCAACCACAGGTGCTGGAGGACGTGACGGGGGAGGAGTTTGTGCTGCTGATGCGCATCCTGATGGCACTGAAGGGCCTGCAGACGGTGAGCGGGCGGCAGCAGCTGGTGGAGCTGGTGGTGGACCAGGCCTTCCTGGAGCAGGCGCTGAACCCCGCCGACCCTGACACCGTGGACCGCTTGCTGCAGTGCACGCGCCAGGCCCTGCCCCTCTTCTCTGTGAGTGATGCATACATATACACATTATAACACACAAGCTGACGGGTCAGCCCATGCCCCTCTTCTCTGTGAGTGTTATAACACACACAGGTCCAAGTCATAATAATGTACTCCTCTTAGCGACTTACAGGGAGTGCATACACTTTTAGTGTGTGCCCCCCTGTGGGATTTGAACCCATGACCTTGGCATTGCTAGTACCACACGTCTACCAACTGAGGAAGCCGCAGTCTCCCACTCACAACACACACGCACGGTATCACCAAACACATCGTGCTAATGTGTTGCTCAATGCTCACCTCACACAGTCACCTCACACATACTGTTGATTGTTTGCAAATGGCTAATTACTCTTGTGATGAGAACCCTGAGATTCAGTATCTGTTTGTGGCGTTACGTCTCATTGTTACTACTTTCCTGTTTATGCATGTTTATTGGTCAAGGTTCTGACCTGATTCGACCAACCACATCAAGTAGACGACCCCCTCCCCCCTTTCTTATAATTAACTTTTTTCTGCGACTTCTTGAACTTTGCTACCCTTCCAGAAAAATGTCCATTCCACCCGCTTTGTGACCTACTTCTGTGACCACGTCCTGCCCAACCTCAGCACCCTGACCAGTCCCGTGGCAGAGCTGGACATTCAGCTGGAGGTCAGTTACCGCCCTCCCCTGTACCAACCATACAGAGTTCAGGCAACTAGTCCTCAATGTTGGCTCCAACATGCCAGGATAATAGCATTGTCATTGACGTGTGTGTGTGTGTGTTTGTAGGTGCTAAAGCTGCTTGCTGAGATGAGTCCTTTCTGTGGGGACATGGAGAAGGTGGAGGCCAACCTCACCATGCTTTTTGAGAAGCTTCTGGTAAGTAACAGCCTAGCTCAGCCTTGTAATGGACTTCGGTGTGCTTTCACCATACTGCGTGGGATAGTGGGTCGGTGTTGATTTTGGTCCGGGACATGTAAATCTGCTTTATCAGACTGGTAAAAGGCTAATGGACAAAACAGACCGTGCAAACGACCGCTAAAAGCAACGAGTGACCATCCTCTCGCCTCTTACCACAGAACTTTGGCCGTCATTTTAATTTCCTAACGATTCTACATGTTGAACCGCCTCTGCTACGTCAACACCCATGAGGTGATCTAGTGTGCCCAGCCGATGTTCGTTGTGGTGTGTTTTGTCCTTAACTGGTCCTGGCTGGTAAAAGGCGAACTGATCAACCCCTTCCTCCCTGTGTCTAGGAGTTGATGCCGCTTCCCCCAGAGGCGGAGGGTGAGAATGGCGAGAACACGACGAGCGAGGAGCCCAAGCTGCAGTTCAGCTACGTGGAATGTCTCCTCTTCAGCTTCCACCAGCTGGGCAAGAAGCTGCCTGACTTCCTCATCGACAAGATCAATGCAGAGCGCCTTAAAGACTTCAAGATCAGGTAGAGGAAGGGTTCCCCCCCCTGCAAATGTTTTGTCAACGTTTGTGTGTCTTTTTGATCAGTCTTGGTTTGTTGTGGGAACGTTTGGCATATAATATCTTCTGGTCTTTTTGTGTTTTCGCACCATTTTCAGTTTAGTGATCTGCATTCATGCGTTATAGCAATGTTTCTGTTGAATTTCTATCAGTCTCCTCCAGGGCATTAAATGAACACATGCCAAATGCGGGTAAATTTAGGTATTGGCGGGTAAGAATGTTTATTTCACCAGCCACGTTTGCGGGTGGTCAATTTGCAGGGCTCTATAGTGCAAGCATTACATTCGGTAATAATAATTAAGACACACAAATGACTAGAGGGAGTCCGACTAGAGGGCAGGGCTCAGACTTGCGAGTGACTAGCACCTGTTGTCTCTCTCTCCTCCCTGCTGCAGCGACCACCACAGCGCGATAAACACAGTTTATGTTCTGTCTGTGTTGTTGAAGCTGCAACATAATTACAGCCATTTCTGACTGAGAAGTTCTGTTACCGAAATCCCTAATTTGTTTAGGAAAAACATGGCCTATTCCCTCAGCCCTTACTCTCTTTACGTGACACATGTATGCAACACATGCACTTGTCCAAAGACCTATTCGCACGGGAGTAGTATTACTCGTAGAGAACGTTGGTTATGTAATTTACTCCAGAATGTCTGTCATTCCAGATGACGATTCGGACAAGACTCGTTTTTTTTCCAAACTGCCCCCTGTCATTTTTTTCAAATAAATGGACAGTTATGACCGAAGCCTGGAGGTTTTTATTCTAGGTGTGAAGATAGTATTTCAACATGTACAGGTGATAGGACCACACTGAGAACTCTAGCTTGATTCCCAAGTTTCTAAACCAGCGTTCCTATAGTGTCGCCATAATATTTGAATTGAGGAAGTGTGATCATAATCATTAGGATATTTTAGCGATCCGCGGTACATCCTAAATGCCCCCCAGCCTTCAGATGTGAGCTAAACAGTGCAATTGCACTTGAGATGCATTTTAAGGCTATGGATGAGTTTCCAAACGTTTAGGTCAGTTGTATGCTGCTTTGCAATCTATTAACAGCAAGGGTTGCATTAAATATGCTCTATTTTCAGTTCATACGCACAAAACATATAAACAAAAGCATTCACCGTGAAAGTTGATAGGCTACATGTAGGTCGTTCATACAGTGCATTCGGAAAGTATTCAGACCCCTTGACTTTTTCCACATTTTGTTACGTTACAGCCTTAATCTAAAATGGATTACATAAAAATAAAAAAATCCTCAGCAATCTACACACAATACCCCATAATGACAAAGCGAAAATAGGTTTTTAGCAAATTTATAAAATCAAAAAAACAGATACCTTATTTACATAACTATTCAGACCCTTTGCTATGAGACTCGCAATTCAGCACAGATGCATCCTGTTTCCACTGATCATCCTTCAGATGTTTCTACAACTTGATTGGAGTCCACCTGTGGTAAATTCAATTGATTGGACATGATTTAATAAGGCGCACACCTGTCTATATAAGGTCCCACAGTTGACAGTGCATGTCAGAACAAAAACCAAGCCGTTAGGTCAAAGGAACTGTCCGTAGAGCTCTGAGACAGGATTGTGTCGAGGCACAGATCTGGGGAAAAGTACCAAAACATTTCTACAGCATTGAAGGTCCCCAAGAACACAGTGACCTCCTCCATTCTTAAATGGAAGAAGTTTGGAACCACCAAGACTCTTCCTAGAGCTGGCCGCTCGGCCAAACTGAGCAATCAGTGGAGAAGGGCCTTGGTCAGCGAGGTGACCAAGAACTGGATGGTCACTCTGACAGAGCTCTAGAGTTCCTCTGTGGAGATGGGAAAACCTTCCAGAAGGACAACCATCTCTGCAGCACTCCACCAATCAGGCCTTTATGGTAGAGTGGCCAGACGGAAGCCACTCCTCAGTAAAAGGCACGACAGCCCGCTTGGAGTTTGCCAAAAGGCACCTAAAGGACTCTCAGACCATGAGAAACAAGATTCTCTGGTCTGATGAAACCAAGATTGAACTCTTTGGCCTGAATGGGTCACGTCTGGAGGAAACCTGGCACCATCCCTACGGTGAAGCATGGTGGTGGTAGCATCATGCTGTGGGGATGTTTTTCAGCGGCAGGGACTGGGAGACTAGTCAGGATCGAGGGAAAGATGAACGGAGCAAAGTACAGAGAGATCCTTGATGAAAACCTGCTCCAGACCACTCAGAACCTCAGACTGGGGCGTAGGTTCACCTTCCAACAGGACAACAACCCTAAGCACACAGCCAAAACAACGCAGGAGTGGCTTCGGGACAAGTCTCTGAGTGTCCCAGCCAGAGCCCAGACTTGAACCCAATCGAACATCTCTGGAGAGACCTGAAAATAGCTGTGCAGCGACGCTCCCCATCCAACCTGACAGAGGTTAAGAGGATCTGCAGAGAAGAATCTGAGAAATTCCCCAAATACAGGTGCGCCAAGCTTGTAGCGTCATACCCAAGAAGACTCGATGCTGTAATCGCTGCCAAAGGTGCTTCAACAAAGTACTGATTGAAGGGTCTGAATACTTATGTAAATGTCATTTTAACGTTAATTTTTTATTATTAGCAGAAATGTCAATCCTATTTTTGCTTTGTCGTTATGGGGTGTTGTGTGTAGATTGAGGGGTAAAAAACGATTTAATCAATTTCAGAATAAGGCTGTAACCTAACAATGTGGAAAAAGTCAAGGGGTCTGAATACTTTCCAAAGTGATGAAATTAACAAATTAATGATTGATTGATACAGTAGCCTATAGAAGTGATGAAATATAGGCTTAAGTAAGTTACGGTATTAAGACTAAACACAATGTGCTGTTAGGCCTACAGTTCGATGGTGGTTATTCAAGGCTGCTATACCAAGCCTACTAATGATAATGGCATTATTTATTATTACAATAATAATAATAGTAATAATAAGGCGATCAAGAAAAAGGAGCATTATTATTATTATTGTTATAAATATTATTTTGCTTTCCTCTCCTCACTTTTCTTAGACAATAAGGCAAGGGCTGTTTTCTCATCTCTTCATTCTGCTGCTTCCTCCGTGGCGTAGTTCTCAACACCAATACGCTGGTTAACGTTGCTATTATGCACATAGTACATGGTCTAGGAAAAGGCGCCAATTCAACAGCACACTGTTTCAGAACCGTGGACAGCGACCGTTATCCAACGAGGGAGAAAGCGCATTTGTTATATGTTCCATCCACAGTGGATCAGTCCGCTCAGACAGGCGCGAATCAGACCGGTGTCTTATACACCGTGAGGTAAATGTATTTAGACACACGTGACAGGACTCGAGTGGGCCCCGTTACCATAGTAACCTCCTGCCCTTCAAGGGGCCGCTGAACAGTTTTTCTCTATTTTGATTAAAACTCAGATCACAAATGAAATTGCGCGATATAACACATTACTTCTTACTAATACATTTCTTGTTTTAGAAACATTACAAAGCATGGAAATGTGTTTTTTGATGTAATTATGGTGGTAAAGATTTGGGCTGATAACAAATGTGACAGGTAGATCTGTCTGCCATAGTGTCTGGTGGACCAAAAAGTACATTTTAGGCCCTGGTCTCCACTATAATTTAATATGCCATTTTAGCAGACGCTTTTATCCAAAGCGACTTAGTCATGCGTGCATACATTTTTTTTTTTTTTTTGTGTATGGGTGGTCCCGGGGATCGAACCCACTACCTTGGCGTTACAAGCGCCGTGCTCTACCAGCTGAGCTACAGAGGACCACAATCCAGACACCATAGTGTCTGGATGCCAGTAATGTCATCTTTTTTTTTTTTTTCTTCAGTCACTCTAACCCTAGTTTGTCTTCTCTCCTGCCTTCAGGTTACAGTACTTTGCCAGAGGGCTGCAGGTATACATTCGCCAGCTGCGAGTAGCCCTACAAGGCAAGACGGGAGAGGCACTGAAGACCGACGAGGTATGTATCGTTTTAGCAGCTGTTTTGCTCTCTGATGAGGACTTGCTTTGTTTCCTCTTGACGGTATCTCACCAGCCACAAAGAATCATGCAGATTCAATCAGGAACAGTCTCTGGAGACATTGTTAATCATGTGTTCCTTCTGTTCTAGTGTAATAGTTGTCTTGTGTTTTCATCCCTCTTAGAACAAGATCAAAGTGGTGGCTCTGAAGATCACGAACAACATCAACGTTCTGATCAAGGTGAGATGTTCATCTTCGATGTGTTAACACTGGGTCAACCCTGAAAGACACTGGGTCAACTGTACATAGCTAGTTGTATCTCTAACATTCTCATTACTGTTCTGCTTTTCTGCAGGATCTCTTCCACAACCCACCATCGTACAAGAGCACAGTCACGCTGTCCTGGAAGCCTGTCCAGAAGCCTGAGGCTGTAGCGTAAGTCTCTTTATTTTTTATTTTTTTTATTTTTATGTTGTCATGGGTAATCTGGTGACCGAGAATATCGGGTTTCTGATTAAGTGTTATTAACCTTACACTCTAAAATCCGAAATGTTCAGACCTCAAACGTAGTCAAGATGAGTTCACATCCCAGGCCATCTTATGTAAATCCGTCTCTCTGCCACAATCTAAAAAGAATGGAAGCGATAAGTACCATGTAGTGTCCAGATTTGTGGATGAGTTATGTAGCTAGAGCTATACAACTGATGGTGTGGGGAAACGTCTGACCAATGTTGATTTTGGAGTGCAATGTCCCTTTAATGTTAATTCATGGGTCAACTGACCTGCTCACTTCAATGTATGGACACTAGCAACTTCTCAGTACAAACACAATAACCTCATCAGATAAGACTGAAAACGCAACATTAGTGTTAGCATTATGACCCCAGGTGACCTCTATGTAACCTGTGACCTTTGCCCTCTGTGCCCATCAGTCAGAAGCGCCCATCCGGGGAGGAGATGGGCACAGGCAGTACCATGAAGAAGCAGCTGTCCCCCCTGCCCCGAAGGAACGCGAGACAGATCTACAACCCTCCCAGCGGCAAGTACAGCGCCACCATTGGCAACTTCACCAACGGTGAGGGTGGCACTTGGGTAGCATGTCAAACAGTAGAACGTTGCACAGACGTTGTATCTGGGTTTTTCTCATGGGTTCTCTCACGTTTTGTCTCATCTACCTTTGTCGAGTGCACTTGGTGTTACTTAGTCACTCTGGGTAAGAGAGTCAATGACTGAACTGGAAACATGTTTGGTGCCTACTGTTTCTTTCCATTGTGTGTGTGTGTGTGGTGGATGTTGTTCACTTCCATCTTGTATTGTGCCTAGGGTTGCAAAGGGAGGGTATATTACTGGAAACTTTTCAAAGTTTACCAGTAAATAACCAGAATTTTGGTAACTTAAAGTTTCTTTAAGTTTATCCGATGACATCTAGTGGCCTTTTGGGTACTTTAAATTATCACAGGTGTCTAATTATCTCTGGACCTCTGTGTGGCCTTATCATATGTAAAACATATAAAATAATCAAGTAAGGTGATTTTAGAATAAAAATAGAATGACAAAGCTGTAAAACATATTTTACTATGTTTAATGTCTTTGTTGTAAATGTTTTGGCGCCGAACTGGTGGCAGTTGTAGCTCAGTTGGTAGAGCATGGCGCTTGCAACGCCAGGGTTGTGGGTTCGATTCCCACGGGGGACCAGTATGAACAAATGTATGCACTTACTTAACTGTAAGTCGCTCTGGATAAGAGCGTCTGCTAAATGACTAAAATGTAAAAGAGTCAATCGTTGGAAGAGTTGCAGAGTTCATTGAAAATAATGCCATTGTTGATTTAGATGCTTTTTTTCATTAAATAGGCAATTTTCTCTTGAACCATATGGTCTAACCACTTGAAACTCATAGACAATATGCATACAGATATAAACAAAAAATGAATACTATATATGAGTAAGTTATTCAAGTATAAATCACCAAAGTTACCATAGATTACCTGTTAATTGCCAAAATTACCGAAGATAACGCTTTGCAACCCTAATTGTGCCATGTACACCCTATATGGGGAATATGAGGGTGTTACTAGAGTGACTGAGGTGCACATGCTGATGCTTAAATGTTGCTAATGTGTTAAAAGGATAGGAAATCCAAAATCACCATTGTTTTTAAGCTGAGCCCTCTGTTTTATGTGAGCTATTGAGAAATATGCAACTAAGTGGAGGGAATGGCACTAGCTAAATATTACTATCCTTTTTAAAGGCCCAGTGCAGCCAAGATGTTTTTTTCTGTGTTTTGTTATCATATTATACAACATCTGATGAAACTAACTGTAAAAATGTTACAAGTGTTATGTCCTGATAGTTGCTGTTTGAAAATACAATTTGCTTTCTAATCAGCAGGTTTTGCATGGGTGGATTTTTGGCTTGCCTTGTGACATCACCAGGCCGTATAGGTTTAATAGACCAATAACAAATAGAGTTCCAAATCGTACATTTACATTTACGTCATTTAGCAGACGCTCTTATCCAGAGCGACTTACAAATAGGTGCATTCACCTTATAGCCAGTGGGATAACCACTTTACAATGGGTTTTTTTTGGGGGGGGGGGGGGGGTAGAAGGATTACTTTATCCTATCCCAGGTATTCCTTAGAGGTGGGGTTTCAAATGTCTCCGGAAGGTGGTGAGTGACTCCGCTGTCCTGGCGTCGTGAGGGAGCTTGTTCCACCATTGGGGTGCCAGAGCAGCGAACAGTTTTGACTGGGCTGAGCGGGAACTATGCTTCCGCAGAGGTAGGGGAGCCAGCAGGCCAGAGGTGGATGAACGCAGTGCCCTCGTTTGGGTGTAGGGACTAATCAGAGCCTGAAGGTACGGAGGTGCCGTTCCCCTCACAGCTCCGTAGGCAAGCACCATGGTCTTGTAGCAGATGCGAGCTTCAACTGGAAGCCAGTGGAGTGTGCGGAGGAGCGGGGTGACGTGAGAGAACTTGGGAAGGTTGAACACCAGACGGGCTGCGGCATTCTGGATGAGTTGTAGGGGTTTAATGGCACAGGCAGGGAGCCCAGCCAACAGCGAGTTGCAGTAATCCAGACGGGAGATGACAAGTGCCTGGATTAGGACCTGTGCCGCTTCCTGTGTAAGGCAGGGTCGTACTCTCCGAATGTTGTAGAGCATGATGTTAGCGGAGAACGACAGGGTGTTGTCCAGGGTCACGCCAAGGCTCTTCGCACTCTGGGAGGAGGACACAACGGAGTTGTCAACCGTGATGGCGAGATCATGGAACGGGCAGTCCTTCCCCGGGAGGAAGAGCAGCTCCGTCTTGCCGAGGTTCAGCTTGAGGTGGTGATCCGTCATCCATACTGATATGTCTGCCAGACATGCAGAGATGCGATTCGCCACCTGGTTATCAGAAGGGGGAAAGGAGAAGATTAGTTGTGTGTCATCAGCGTAGCAATGATAGGAGAGGTCATGTGAGGATATGACAGTGCCAAGTGACTTGGTGTATAGCGAGAATAGGAGAGGGCCTAGAACTGAGCCCTGGGGGACACCAGTGGTGAGAGCACGTGGTGCGGAGACAGCTTCTCGCCACGCCACTTGGTAGGAGTGACCGGTCAGGTAGGACGCAATCCAAGAGTGAGCCGCGCCGGAGATGCCCAGTTCGGAGAGGGTGGAGAGGAGGATCTGATGGTTCACAGTATCAAAGGCAGCAACAGGTCTAGAAGGACAAGAGCAGAGGAGAGAGAGTTAGCTTTAGCAGTGCGGAGAGCCTCCGTGACACAGAGAAGAGCAGTCTCAGTTGAATGACCAGTCTTGAAACCTGACTGGTTTGGATCAAGAAGGTCATTCTGAGAGAGATAGCAAGAGTTGGCTAAAGACGGCACGCTCAATAGTTTTGGAGAGAAAAGAAAGAAGGGATACTGGTCTGTAGTAAATCTCTCTGCCAATAACGGCTAGTTTTCAGGTTACATATCCCTCCCATTAGGCCCCTCACTCAGACCACTCCCAGACAGTGAGGGGATTCGATTATCTGGCCAGAATTACCCCCAGTGGTCGGAGTTTGTACCTGGTTAAAAGTGATTGCATTTGTTTTGGAACCTGGCTGCCTCCTGGGCGTGAGCCAGGTGCTCCGTTCAAAGGCACTGGAGAAGTCGTCTCAACAAGTGACATAGACTAGATTGAGCACGTGTAGTAATGAGTAGGATTCACTTGCCTTTTGATATGAAGGCTTTATTTGCCTTCCTAATTAAAACTAGTTTGAAAATGAAAACATATTTTATGGAAAAGAGATGTTTCTGGACGATCCACCATGCTGCCTTGTTGACAACATTACGGAGCGGTGCAGATTCCTGTTTGATTTGAGAAGGGCGCTCCTCCTTCATGCTGCGTTTAGGCTAGGGATGCAAAAACCATCATGCCAGTCGGCATAGTGGGACAAGAAATGTTAGTTGATGACGGCAAAAGCAAGCCAGCGCGATGGTATGCGTTGCTATGGTGATTTCAGCAAATCAACATCCGGTAGAAAACAACATTAATGCAGACTGCAAAAGTTGAAATATTTTAACTCTGGGGGGGGGCAAGTCCCATCTACCTTGGCGGCGTTCACCGCCAGCCTCAATGGCACTTACCGTCGTGCTCTCATTGAAAACAATGACATCCGGTTTGCCATCTACCTCGTACCATGTAAATGCAGCATCACCACTTTTGCTCGTTCACGTCACGTGCCATAGACGGTGCACAGCAGCTCAGGTTAATAGAAATCCCTCAGTCCTAGCAAAATCCTTGCTTGAGAAATAGATTTTTGCTTTAAAGCCATTCTTGTTTCTTTTTGACTAGTTGAATGGAAAACTATTACAGTAAGGTATTTAATTTTAATATTGAGATAAAAACGCCTTTTAGCTCTAATACAAGATGAGTCGGGGCAGGAGTTTTTCTCTGACCATGTGACCCAATTATTTCTTCCTTTTTATAGGCTGTTTGAGATGTACTACATTGCCATCGGGTTTTATCCCGTCAAACACGCTAAATTACTAAAACTAGGGCCCAGTCTTTCCTGGCCAGGAAAAACTCCTGACTCAAATGATGAGTCCTCATACTGACCTTCTGTCTATTGTCCCTGTGTTGTGATTCCAGAGCAGCGTGGAGGCTTCAGGGGAGGCCGGGGACGAGGCTTCGGAGGCAGGAGCCGAGGCCGAATCTACTGAGTCCACCATCACACACTGAACTGCAGCACATCAGAATCCCTGCCGCAACTGAGGTGGTCTCCACGACCACCGCTCCTCAACCCTGTGTCCACTTGTTCTTTTTCCTCCGGCTCCAAACGCCCCCCTCAAAGTAAATCCACTTCAAGGAGACTGGGCTTCAGACTTTTCTACCAGTTGTTTCTACCACGACACTGTTCCCCGGCGAAGCGGTTGTTCAAGTAGATCATCGTGTCTTAGTTTTTTTATTATTATGAGTGTCTTTTTGTGGAACCAGAGACTGCCAAGTTGTACCTGATTTTGATATTTTTGTCAGATGTCGGAACGTCTTTCTTTGTTTTACAAAATGGTGACGAATGCATTCTTTCTATATTTTTATTTAATCCTTACATTTTTAGAGCTTGGATTTGGATTGGCCTGCTCTCTTCGCTACTTTGTATGAATCGACAATGAAGTTTTCATCTGAATTTTATCATAAACTTGTATTGAAGTCTCACCACCTTGCTCCCTTTGTTTGTGTAACACCTTGTTAAAATTAGATCAACATTGGTTTTCTGATGTTTTCAGTTTTTTTGTTTTGTTAGTAAAACTAGATTATTTCCTCCACAAAACAGGTTGTGACGCCAAATAGCACAGATCATTATTAGTTGTATTAATTGGACATAGGTTGTCATTCAAACCAGCCAAGGCAGATTGAGGACATGGGGGCCTTACTTGTGAACATAAGCAACCATTTAAATTTAAACAGGTTCGATGCGTTTCAGCCAATTAAAATTGCCGATTTACTGGCACGTGACAGAACGTTGGACTTCCAATACTTGTTCATACCTCAGTCCAACCGCACGTTCACTATCACGTGTATTTGACTGAATGGTCAAATTGCTCTCTGTAAAGTGCCTTGTAATTGTGGCAAGGGTTGGAATCTCACATGTTTTTCCTCCCCTTTGAAATGTAGATTTGCATGTATTGTGTTAGTGTGTTGAAAAGGGACGTAGCCTCCAGCCAACAGTTTAAAAATTAAGATTTAAGAATACATTTTATAAGGAGCTACCTCTTTCAGCCTTGCGCACAAACACACTGCTATTGCCTAATAATCGTATTGCATAGGCTATATTACATGGACGTGTACACCTAAATGTAGCACTACAATGCTTTATATGCAATTTTCTTATCTGCTTTGTCACATGCGTTATGACTCGAGGATGAGCATTACAAAGTGTACAGTAGTAGTATAGGTTGCACTCCCACCATCCTACAGATGGCCGTGTTGCCATTATTTTTAAAGGGGTTTATCGCGAGTCCGGAGGACTCGAATCGACCGTCTTAATGGAGGAAGACACTTGGCTGTATTAGTATCATATGGTGAATTACTTCTTTGACAAAGTCATCTAACTCTGTGATTATCCTTTGCTGTAGGTTACTATAGGAACTCCAATCAATAATATAGCTAATGCCTACATTCATTCACATCAGAAAGTGTCCTCTTTATGAAATAACCTACTAATGCATATGGGACTTTGTATGGTACACCTCAATTCATGATGAACCCCATTGACCACCACATTCCATATGTAGCCTCGGCTTCCAGGCCGGTGAGGCGGAAGCATGGTGGAGCCTACCCATACAGTGATTACGCCCTCTCCTGGCGAGGAGATGGTGTAGGCTATATTCTTATATTTTAGGCTATGCATTATCCACTTCGTCACATGCGTTTTGAATCTAGCATCGAGGACCGGCAGAGATCAGTTTCTTTCCTCAACCAATAAAGCTTAATGCGAGGGGGTCTCAAAACCATGGTTAAAGTGCACTATTGGTTTCAAGTCAACCGCTTCAGCAGTGTGCGCCACCTAGGAATGATAGTACAAATGGTAGCCTACATGACTGCTATTTGACAAATCCGTAAGGCTCTAGGTTTAAACAAAAAATATATATGTTAGGAGCTCATTCATATGTTTTCCATAAAACCACATGGATGTGTGAAACGGATACAAAATTGTGGGATTTTGTCATGTGCGAAACTTAAATGTCTAACGTTAGTAGTAGCTAGTAGCCTAGTCAGGTGTCTGTTATGACATGTGGCACTTTGGGGTGGACACCCACCTGTCTTAATGAGAGAAGACTTGAAATAGACAAGATGGCGGTGTACACATGGAGCAAGAAAATTATTTTAATTAAGGAGCATTTTCTAAATTCAACCGGACACAGACATTTTACGAGACTAAATTTTTCCACGAATCGAGGACGAAGACCGTATCGCTAAGGTTAGTCGAAGATTCTGTGCTACACCAAATAGTACCTAACCTGTAACTCCCAGTAATGGATACCAAAAATTGTTGGTTAAATCACATCTGGTTTAACAATCTGTAGCTAACCTCCAAGCTCCTGGTATTTGCACCATTTTGGGAAAACATGATGTTTGGTACGTACTGTTGTAAAACATAGCAAATATAAATGTTCAACCAACTGAACACGCCCATTTTATTTTGTTATGGGCTGAGCACTTGCTAGGATTTATTTACTGAATGAGTGAACCAAATGACCTTGCTGTCAAAGGAGGATGAAGGTATCATGACCACTGTGTGCTGTAGATCTGAGAAGATTGAATAGACATAAACTTTTTTTTAGACCCAACCATGAAAAACAGCCCCAGGCCATTATTCCTCCTCCACCAAACTGTACAGTTGGCACCCCTTCAAATGAGTGGATTTGGCTATTTCAGCCACACCCGTTGCTGACAGGTGTATAAAATCGAGCACACAGCCATGCAATCTCCATAGACAAACACTGGCAGTAGAATGGCCTTACTGAAGAGCTCAGTGACTTTCAACGTGGCACCATCATAGGATACCACCTTTGCAACAAGTCAGTTCGTCAGTCAGGTAGCGTTCTCCTGGCATCCGTCATACCCAGATTCATCCATCGGACTGCCAGATGGTGAAGCGTGATTCATCACTCCAGATAACGCGTTTCCACTGCTCCAGAGTCCAATGACGGCAAGCTTTACACCTCTCCAGCCGACGCTTGGCATTGCGCATGGTGATCTTAGGCTTGTTTGCGGCTGCTCGGCCACGGAAGCCCAATTCATGAAGCTCCCGACGAACAGTACTTGTGCTGATGTTGCTACCAGAGACAGTTTGGAACTCAGTAGGGAGTGTTGCAACCGAGGACAGACGATTTTTATGCGCTACGCGTTTCAGCACTCGGTGGTCTCGTTCAGTGAGCTTGTGTGGCCTACCACTTTGCGGCTGAGCCGTTGTTGCTCCTAGACGTTTCCTCTTCACAATAACAGTACTTACAGTTGACTGGGGCAGCTCTAGCAGGGCAGAAATTTGACGAACTGACTTGTTGGAAAGGTGGCATCCTATGATGGTGCCACGTTGAAAGTCACTGAGCTCTTCAGTAAGGCCATTCTACTGCCAATGTTTGTCTATGGAGATTGCATGGCTGTGTGCTCGATTTTATACACCTGTCAGCAACGGGTGTGGCTGAAATAGCCAAATCCACTAATTTGAAGGGGTGTCCACATACTTTTGTGTATATATACATAGTGTGTTGAAGTGACCCCTATCTAAAGGTGGAACAAACCTTGTGCTTAGGTTGCTGATGATTCTAAAGACCTCAGCCTAACCCTCATCTTCAGCACCTTGGACACTGGCAAGGAGAAAATGGACACTTTGCAGAGGGAGAGATGAAACGGCTGTTGACAAGGACTCAACCGAACTACACAACATGGCAGGGCCTCTCCAAGGACTTGTTGAGGAGAGTGAACAGAATCATATGGTGTCACACACTGGCAGAAGGTATGACAGTTCAGTATTCAATGTCCAGTCTTGTCACACAGTGTGGGTGTTTATAATCACAGGCAAACAAGACTGCTAGATCGTAAGTAATTCTATGCATTTCTGTGTGTAGTCGGATAGAGAAATGTCTGTGTAAGTGGCACAGTGGTCTAAGGCACTGCATCGCAGTGCTAGCTGTGCCACTAGAGATCCTGGTTCGAATCCAGGATCTCTAGTGGCCGCGACCGGGAGACCTGTGGGGCGGCGCACAACTGCTTTGAAGTAGGGAGTGTAGAATCGGGGCTCACTAATTGAAGGAGCTAAAAATAGCGCCTGCCTTGTTTAGAAAGCTCTTTATTTTACACACCCGGATGGAGCGCCGACTCGCGCTCTCCCTCACTCACGCGTCGTACACATGCTGGCTTAGCTCGACACGCAGAGACACACACACACACAGGCTCACAGTGGGAGCTACAGGTCTGCATGTGGGGACATGTGTGTGTGGAGGAGGTTATTTTTCTCCCTCTCAAATGTTTCTGAAGCAGATGGTAGTTTCACTTCACCTCTTTATATAAATACATTGTTTGTTTTTCAGTGAAGCAAAAGGCTGCTTGTGGGAAATGCCCAACTACGAACTGATAAACATCCAATTTCAACGTGGTCTAGTATGGTTCATATTTGGGGTCAAATGGGTTCATATTTTTATTTCTATGGTTTTTGTTTTTTCTCAATGGAGCTGATGGACTTTAAATATCAAATGTATTATCGTATCATTAATAGTCTCCTGAATGAAGACCCTTCTTGTTTCTTTTGATAGGCTCTCTCTGTTACATGCGGTAACAATTCGCCTGAGGACGAGGTTAAGATCAAACTCACGTGACAGTGATGATGATATCAATCTGAAAGTAAACACACATACCATACTATTTTTAAAGTAACTGTCCAGTGTTTCCAGATTTCTATTAAATATAACCTATATTTAATTACAATATGAGTGAAATAGTTTGTTCAAAAGCAGATTTTCTGTGTTGGAATTGTGTGGGTGTACCCCAACAACAGAATGGTGTGTGTGTATACCGGTCATTAAAAATATTCATCCGAGTGAGCCTACATGACATCATGTTCTATGAGGAAATAGCAAGCATTTTTTAAACGGTCTGTTTGAGTTACAAGCTTTTCTCTCCAATTTATACCTTGGCCACAAAATCGAGTATAGGATGAGTCAACCACATTATTTGGGTATGAAATAACAGAATATGAACTTTTAAAAGTGAGATTTTAACTGGACAATTTAAGCGTTTGGGATTTCTAGTCCCCGGTTATTTCTTATTGCGGAATCTTTAATAGCAAGACGAGCCTGTGTCCCAAATTGCACCCTATTCCCTATTAAGTGCACTACTTTTGACCAGGGACCACATCCCAAATGGCACTTTATAACCTATTTAGTGCGCTACTTTTGAGTAGAAAAGTGCACTATAAAGGGAATAGGGTGCCATTTGGGATGCTGAGATGCAGCAAAGAACATCCTGGCTGCTGTTGGTTCTTTAAGCAATAAGGCCTGAGGGGGTGTGGTATATGGCCAATATACCACGGCTAAGTGCTGCTCTTATACGCCACACAACGCGGAGTGCCTGGATACAGCCCTTAGCTATTATAAACTGGTTGCCAACATAATTAGAATAGTAAATATATACCACATTCTGATATACTTGTTCTCAACTGGCTTACCTGGTTAAATAAAGGTGAAATAATA